ACCTTAATTTCCTTTTTTTTCCTTACTTTTTATTTTTTACCGATCTATTTCGTTTTACTTTTCAGTTTTTTTTTTGCTTTTAAATTATATAACGAAAACCAAAACCAAAACCAAAACCGACAGAGTAGACCATCATGCTTTGCTGGAAGATCAATATGGCGGATCAAAGTGTCCATCCGGCGGAGTGCGGCTTTGTTGACGATGTTAGCCCAGGTAAATTTTCTAATTTAACCTCCATTGATCGCTCTATCATAAACTGTATTTCTTTTCAACGTACCTTTTAATTCTTCTATTTAAGCTAGGGAAATCGCGTTAAACGACTAGATCCACAGAAGGCTAGGATTGGAGGTACTAATGTGATGTAAGCTACCGCCCATTTGTTAAGCTTTCATTTACAATAGATCGTAATCGCCTAGACTGGAATATAACGGGGAATATATTCTTGGAGCATAATGGAAACATCAAAGTGTGGGCAGTAAGTTTTTAACACGTGTCGGCCGAATTCTCAACCGAAAAGCTAAATGGCGAAGTAAAAATCAAAACGTTAAAAACGAAAACGGAAAAGTAAAAAATAAAAACCGAAAAGCTAAATGGTGAAGTGAAAATCAAAAAGTGAAAATCAAAAATGGAAAAGTGGAAAATAAAAACGAGTTCACTATTTGGCTTCCGTGAAAACCACTTTCAAAACATCACCCGTGCCCATAACCATGATATTTACTCGCGTTTATGTGATTTTCTATCCATATTAAACTAACTTGTACATTTTCTTACGTATGTACTAGCATTAATTTTTGCTTTAAAAGCGTACTTACCGCACTGAAAACACTTTGTAAGCTCATAGCAGCGTCGTTTTGTTAAGGATTCTCTCAGACAGTAGTACTAGATGTACTAGTGAACGTTACACTGCACATTACATCTGAAGGACTGAATTTACCAGCTTAGCATTTTATATCTTCGTTTAATTTCCCCTTCTGTTATAATTATCCTTTTCCGGTGATATATAGCCTCAAGAGAGAGTGATCTAGCTCATTACCTCTTGGTAGCCTGCGTGGTAGGCGTTCGAAAGGGAAGGGGAAGGAAATTAGGACGCGAGACCACGCGCGAGACGATAGCAATAAATTAAACGCGTGAGATCGGAGAGTAATTCGGCGTTCGGCGGTTGTTCGACGTTCTGCAAAATCGATACCTCTGCTGCTTATTTTATTCGTTCATGTATTAAAATGAAGAGTTAATTTTTCTACGTATTAAAAGATAGGACTAAAAAGAGACGTAATTGTATGTAAAAGAATTAAAAGTATTTTTCTGGCGAGGAAGCTCAAATTGAAACCTTGGGGTTTATTATATGAGCTCCCTCCTTAACCTAAGACTAATAATCATTATTATTCACTCAAAATATTTCTCCGATTCTGATTGGCATAAAAGCACACGTTTAATTCACCATAACCAGTTACTGTTGACCAAATTTGGAAGAATTTTGTGTTTAGCGAGGAAATGACGTCAAAAATGCAGCGTTCTTGCAGGTTAATGCACCGTTAACCGAGAAGACCTGGGGACGAGGTTGAGTTGTTTTGGTTGTGAACTTGAANGTTCGACGTTCTGCAAAATCGATACCTCTGCTGCTTATTTTATTCGTTCATGTATTAAAATGAAGAGTTAATTTTTCTACGTATTAAAAGATAGGACTAAAAAGAGACGTAATTGTATGTAAAAGAATTAAAAGTATTTTTCTGGCGAGGAAGCTCAAATTGAAACCTTGGGGTTTATTATATGAGCTCCCTCCTTAACCTAAGACTAATAATCATTATTATTCACTCAAAATATTTCTCCGATTCTGATTGGCATAAAAGCACACGTTTAATTCACCATAACCAGTTACTGTTGACCAAATTTGGAAGAATTTTGTGTTTAGCGAGGAAATGACGTCAAAAATGCAGCGTTCTTGCAGGTTAATGCACCGTTAACCGAGAAGACCTGGGGACGAGGTTGAGTTGTTTTGGTTGTGAACTTGAAAAATGGCGGACATTTCACTCGTTTCAAGAGTAAGAACTAGGCGAAAAAAATAGCTAAAAACATGGCAAGAACAGCAAGAACACAACTCGAAGGGCTACATCTGCCATTTGGGGGAATATTTGCGGAGCTGAACAACCCTAAACGTGCACTATCGAAGATGAACTTAACATCGATGGATCGATGAAGGTGAGCATGTTTTAGCCATGTTTTGAAACTAGGAATCATTGTGAATGAATAATAAAACAATTTTTGAATTCAGCTTTCGTATCACATCTAGAATTTAGAGTGTAGAACTCATAGAATTTATGAGGATAATCCTGGCTTAGTTTGACTGCAAATCACGTCAGAGTCCTTCGAGCATTGAATAATCAATGAGGCAAGTAATTTAAAACTGTTGAGTAAGTAAGAGACTTTGTTTTACGAGGGTGACATGTAACAGTTACTGTGAACATTACTGATCAACTTGTGGCCCTCAAAAGAGTCTCATTTGGTCGTTTAAATCAGAGAGTTTTTAAACGAAGCCGAAAGAGAACCGATTGAAACTGAAACTGGAACTGATAATATAGATGCCGAAAAGACTTTTTCCAAATAGAAGAAACGGTATATTTTTCTTTCAACTTCGTTTCCTCAACTGTGATTTTAAAAAGACCTTTCAAATCACATTCCATAGGGGTATTACCCTTTTTCAGTCCTTCCTCCTTGCTTTCCTCTTAATCATTATTTTGAGTGAGACAGAACATTTTGAAATCGAAAGTATTTTACTTAGAATCCGGAAAATTTTTGTTCGTGGAATGCAGAATCCCGGGGAAAATTTTGCTTGTGGAATCCGGAATACAGCTCAAGGAATACTGAATCCTGTTAAAGATTGAAATCCACAATCCATGTTCCACTGAAAAAGACTGGAATCAGGAATCCACGACGTGCAATCTAGAATCCAAGACAGCCTTAGGTTCGCTTATATGGGGCGAAATAGAGGCCTACATGTACGCGCGGTTTCGGTATTCGGGAAAAAATCCGATGCGGTTTGCGGTTTTTTGGCGTACTTCTGTGCGGTTTCGCGGTTTTCGGACCCCTCTTACGCCCCCCTCTTTAAGTGTCACGTCCTCGCTGCTGTCGCCGTTTCCTGGTTGCCTTAGCTCCCGCCATAAGTGAGGCTCGGTGAACGCCCCTCTGGAAATGAGGTGAGGAGTAGGGAACTTTGAAACGAAAGCACTTGAAGCAGTTATTTATAAGATAACCCGTTCTCTCTAGAATATTTTTTGGAGAGAACAATTGGTGGTCTTACTTTTGAATCTACTTTCAAAATCCTATACAGACTGTACGGTTACCATTCAAAGTAGCCCATTTTTGTACAGTACTATTTATTTCTTAGGATTTGACAAAAGGAAATGTGAATTTTTCAGCAATTTTTCGCCCTGCCGGGCTACTGACAGTGTCTCACCTCACATGAAAAAAGAGCGGGCCTCTTGGACCGGGGGGAGGGAGGGCTCTTTTTTGGCCGAGACGGGTCTGTGCCGCAGAACAAGGTGGGTGTCTTTTTTTGACAGGAGAGAGTTAAGTTTGTCAGGTTGGCTGTACAAATGTTAAAAATTTCCCTTGTCGAAATGCAAAAGGAAACTAGTCAGTCATAAAATAGGGTCAAACGAAATGCGGATTTGAAGGCCTCGGTGGCGCACGTTTACCCAAACGTCCCTTGAGTGCCTCCCCCCTAGCTTGCGTCGCAGACACTCTAAACCGCTTGTATATACCAATGGTCTGTAACCCCCCAACCCTCTCCCTTCAAAAGTTCATGTATTCTTATAAATTAAGCCTGCTTCCTAATGTATTCAAAGAAATGTTTTTAACGACCAATCAAGTTCATTCCTATAATACCAGAAATTCAAAAACACACTACTTATTTCCTGCACGAACAAATATAAGACTTTTTGGTATAAGATTTCAGGGCCCTAAAATTTTCAACTCACTTAATTACGATATAAAAAGTGCTGCTACTACTATCTTGAAAACATTTCATTTTAGCTGATTCACCGTCCATCGATGTAAATAATACTTGTTTTTTTCCTTTTTTCTGTCTTGTTTTGCTTGCTTTGTATCCTAATTATGTTTCAGTATGATTTCGCCGCTTATTTATTTAACAATTAATGAATGAGGCTGAGTATCTTATGAGGAATTACGGAGATACGATCTCCATAATTCTTCATATGATACGAACGCCAAATTCAATAATTGTTTTATTATTCATTCAAAATAATTCCTAGTTTAAATACATAGCTAAAACATGCTTAACTTCATCGATGTTAAGTTGATCTTCGATAGAGCACGTTCAGGGTTGTTCAGCTCCCCAAATATTCTCCAAATAGCAGATGTCGCTCTTCGAGTTGTCTTCTTGCTGTTCTTGCCATGTTTTTAGCTATTATTTCGCCTAGTTCTTACCCTTGAAACGAGTGAAATGTCCTCCTATTTTGTTTTCACAACCAAAACAACTCAACATTGTCCCCAGGTCATCTCGGTTAACGGTGCATTAACCTAAAAGAAAGCTGCACTTTTGACGTCATCAGTTGATTAATCGCAAAATTCTTCCAAATTTGGTCATCAGTAGCTGGTTATGGTGAATTATGCGCGTGCTTTTAGCCAACCAGAATCGGGAAAATATTTTGAATGAATAATAATGATTATTAGTCTTAGGTTAAGGAGGGAGCTCATATAATAAACCCCAAGGTTTCAATTTGAGCTTCCTCGCCAGAAAAATACTTTTAATTCTTTTACATACAATTACGTCTCTTTAATATTTAACTGATATTTTTGTAATGTATTGAATGTCTGTTTGTATACATATATATTTTTCTGGCTAATAAACTGAAACTGAAATTACAATTAATGGTTTTGGGGATGCTGTTTCATGAATATAAGATGTTCGAGTTTCTTATCAAATTTACTTCATTTCTTCAGGTGCAACTGGTCCCAAGGGTCCTCAAGGAGACCAGGGAGCAATGGGAGCTATGGGAGCACCAGGGGATCAAGGTGATCAAGGAGCCGCAGGACCCCCTGGACCACCGGGGCCACCAGGACCTTCCGGTATTCCTGCTACTTCGTCAAGCACTGCCCCCATAACTCCAGTTGCTGCTAGAGCTTCTGGTCCAACTGGTGAGTACTTCCGAATGCCTAAGCAACTTGGGGTGTAGCTTCATAGATAGGGGCTCAAATTTCTAAAGATTAAAACCTCTATTTTATGTTCCAGGCTTAACTGGACCCAAGGGTCCTCAAGGTGACCAGGGAGCAATGGGAGCTATGGGAGCACCTGGGGATCAAGGGGATCAAGGAGCCGCAGGACCCCCTGGACCACCGGGGCCACCAGGACCTTCCGGTATTCCTGCTACTTTTACAAGCACTGCCTCCATAACTCCAGCTGCTGCTGGAGCTTCTGGTCCCACTGGTGAGTACTTCCGAATGCCTAAGCAACTTGGGGTGTAGCTTTATAGATAGGGGGGCTAAAATCTCTAAAGATTAAAACCTCTATTTTATGTTCCAGGCTTAACTGGACCCAAGGGTCCTCAAGGTGACCAGGGAGCAATGGGAGCTATGGGAGCACCTGGGGATCAAGGGGATCAAGGAGCCGCAGGACCCCCTGGACCACCGGGTCCACCAGGACCTTCCGGTATTCCTGCTACTTTTACAAGCACTGCCTCCATAACTCCAGCTGCTGCTGGAGCTTCTGGTCCCACTGGTGAGTACTTCCGAATGCCTAAGCAACTTGGGGTGTAGCTTTATAGATAGGGGGGCTAAAAACTCTAAAGATTAAAACCTCTATTTTATGTTCCAGGCTTAACTGGACCCAAGGGTCCTCAAGGTGACCAGGGAGCAATGGGAGCTATGGGAGCACCTGGGGATCAAGGCGATCAGGGAGCTGCAGGACCCCCTGGACCACCGGGTCCACCTGGCCTCCCAGGAATACCGGCAACTAGTCCCTCCCTACATGCATGTCCAGCAATTTGTGATAAATTTTGTGTTGGTTTCTGCCCTAAATTAAACTGCTGTAAAAAGTCTCAAATTCCTGCGAAAAAGGCACTTATGAAAGACAAGCAGAACATTATGCCGAAAAAAGTTGAATTATCAGTAAATAGCCCAAAGGTGACTTTGGTACCACAGCAGGCAAAGACAAATTTACAGGTGAAACCAAGTGTTCAGGGACACCCGATAGCCGTCACACAAATACATGGCCATCCCCAAGTCCAGATGAAAGAAATGAATCCAGGCAAAACTCAAAATAACGCGAAAAGGAATAAGATTAGGCACATTAAACACAAGAAATTAAAATAGAGTTTATGTAACGTAAATATATTATAAAGGTAATATATGGTAGTCTGGTCTTCTAGTTTAATTTATTTATTCAATAGGTTTGTAATTAAGTCAAATCAATAAACCTGAATCCTTTTTACACCAATGACTAGGTAGTTTGTTGACGAGATGTATCCGGCAAACTTGATAAGGCATAATGGAACTTGTTTTATAGGCTGATACTAAATTCGGGTCTATATAGCTACTCTGGGGATGGCCGTTTTTTACCTGTGAGGGGAAGTGGGAGGCGCCATTTTGCTTCATTAGCTACACAAATGGATCAACTTTCACGATTGACACGAAATATCGACTCACATGTTTGGTTTTCCGCCGGTCGATTGTTCTTTCCACCTCGCACAGCTTCCTTCTTTTGGATTTTCTGCTGCTCATGAAACATGTACATTATGAAGCTGTGCGTAATCTACGAGGAAAGCACTCTTTTTGTCCGCCATATTGGATTATCTGTTGTTAAGCGCCGCATACCACAGCGCGGGCTCAAATGCCCGTGATTTCTGGCCATGGGATCATTAATCTTGATTCTGGGTGGTCCTTTTCAGATAAGGGAGCGTTACCTGGAGGACCCTTCTCATAAATTTCATGAAAGTAATACAAAGGAAGTAGCAAAATTGAAATTAAATTCAACAGCCTGGAATGGTATACGCCGATCTTAGAAACACTACTGCAGATAAAGTACAGTCGAACCTCCCGTAAGCGACCGCCCAAAATGCAAAGGCTTAGTGGTCGCTTCCGGGAGGTGGTCCTTTACAAGAACTGAACCACAGGAGGCCTCATCCGAGAAGAGGCCCTGGCACATCTACTCTATGGAAGATCATTTATTGCATGCAATTTCTAAGTCGTACCATGTTTACTTCCATGTTGTCACTAAAGTTCTTCGTATATTACTTAATATAATCATTATTTGAGGAGGGGTTGAAATTAATTTTTGCTTAATGAGAGGGGGGGTATGACTAGTTTTGGGGCATATTTCACCCATTTCCCAGCCCCTCTCCAGGTAATTATTGCACAGTCCCTAAGCCCCATTTACAACGAACATATCATTCATGCACATCCTTCAGTGGACTTCAGTTTCACTTCACTGTCACCATTTCGGACAAACTGAGACACTGATGACTGTTGCTTAGTGATTAGCTCCAGAATGCAAGGACTCGGATATTCGTCGTCACATACGTGTAGTTACAGAATTAGGTATTACTTATAGGGAATGGACCGCCAAAATTCTGTTTTACTGCTCAGATATCACTTAGGAATGCCAAGAAAAAGAAAAACAGGAAAGAAGAGAGGAGAGAAAACAGATTTCAATAACAACCGCTCTGATCTCTTTATTGCAACTTAAGTTATGGTTGTCCTATTTACTACTTTAACTGTTTAGAGGTTAAAGAATGCAGCTGACAATTGCAACGCGCACGCCTGGCTTTCTTCAGGTGTAATTTTAGTTTTTTTCCGGTCAGCATCACCAACTTTTCACGCGGAATCTTCCAACCTCGTCCTCAGGAGGTTGAGAGTCTTCGCCAGGCGTTTCCCATGAAGTTATATACTACTTAACGCAGTCAGTACCTGGAGGGGGGGGGGGGTACTTCCTCATAAGAGGCTAATGGGGATGTGCCGCTGGATGGGGACGCATTTTCACGACTGGATTGACTATAGTGGGTCGGATTTTCAATAGAGTTTCTAGAATGGGGTTGCACATTTTCGAATTTTTGGGGTGAAGACAGTTATTCATATTTACGTTTAGCAAACGTACCAGAATGTTTGTACCGCAGATGAAAAGTAAAGTGTTCTTTATTCAATCTAAAAAAAATGGGTCAATTCATAAAAAATAGAAAGTGACTAAGTTGGGATCGCAAAAAATTACATATTTGCCCAAAAGTGACTAAGATGGGGTCTGTATAATTGGCCACAGAATAAACTACTATAATGGGGTAGTGGCTCTGAGAGGCCAGCGGCACATAACCAGCAAAATTTAAGCCGATTCCCTTCCCCTGCCCCCTCCCCGGAGTCAGTATCGTGCCCGTTGATTAACTGACTATTAGCTTTGGCAATCATTCGATACTGTTCGATGTTAGCACGTCGTGTTGACTGCATTGGTCTGGAAACAGACTGCTAGCGGTCAAGATCCTCTCATTTTTAATTCGCTTATTTATTTATATACCCTGGCGGAGAATAATTGAACTAACTGTTTTTAATGTACACTGCCAATGTTAGTGACTAGTGTAACAAATATTAACGGTGGCATTATAACTTTAATAATCCTATTCCTTTCTTTCCGGTACAACATTAACGTTACAAGAAAAAATACTTTAAAAATAGGAAAATTACCCTTCAATTCATAAAAATTTTTCATACATTCATACATAGCCAGCCTATAGACCTGTAGGCCCGGGCCTACAAAATGTTTGGTTTGATCACTCTACCGCTTGTAATAAATTATGCGTTGTTGGGGTGAGCTAAAAAGCTTAGAGGATACGTGGAAAAGAAAGTCAGCCAGGCCTACAAATAGTCGAAAAGCTGGCTGCGCCCCTGCACATTATGCTCTGTCGCATTAACTTATCATCATTTACTTCTGGACGGTTTAAAGAAGCAGTCTCGGTTAACTGTTGAGTTAACTCTAATTACAGACAAGTTTCCATTACAACTGCGAGTAAGACACATCTTACTATCTAGGCCTGGTATAAAAAACCCAAAATATCTGCGGTTCGACTCAAATAGGTTCACAAATTTAAACCAAACGTTTTCGCCTCCGTTTTGACAGGAAACATTCTGTGAAAGCAATAGATAATAAATCAATTATTGTTATTATTATTCTCATTATCATTATTATTATTTGGTTATTTATTTTTTTACGATAGACTCTTACAATAAGCCAGAAAATTACAAAGGTAATTCAACAAAACAGTCGACTCCCGATAACTCGAACCTCGCGCTATTAACTCGAATGAAAATCGATTTCCCCTGAATTTCCTTCATACACTTACTGTAGTTTCACCCTTGGTAATTCGAATCCCCGATAACGCGAACCTTCCGCTACCTCGAAGTAATTTTTGTGTCCCTTCTGATCATTCTATACAATTATTCTTTATCTTTATTTTTTATTTAGTCCACTTTAAATATAATGTTTATCCCTGTACTAATTAATCAAGCTTTTTTTTCCAAAAAAAATACATTTTTCTTGTTGCCCTTGAAGTGGAGGGTTGATACTTGCATTCCTCTTGATTCCCCTTAAAGGTTTGAGTTATCGGGAACCTATTTATCAAATCTATTGCTGCAGTAAAGGTAATCGGAAGGTCCATTTTTAAAAAGGATGATTGTTTCACAATTGTAAGCCTTATACTAAGCCTTGTACTCACTCACCACGAAGCTGACATTGTTTCCTTGTACCATAAGTGAATAGGTGTTGTTGAAAGAGATGCAACGCCATGATCTCAGCTTATTCCGGCTTTCGACCAACGTAAAATCTGCAGAAACATAAGACCAATATATCAGCTTTATGACATAGCACCAGTGCCTTTTAGAAAATCTCACATTTTATTTTTTCTGACAAGTGGTGAGACATTCCTGATCAAACCAGAGAGAGCCAAAGGGGATAATAGGAGACAAATTTTTAATATATTCAAAATTAGGTAAAAAGAAGAATAATATTGCAAAATTAAATATTTCTAGGAGGAGTGAAAACTATTTTTCCGCGGGTGGGGGCTGGGTGTATCGAAAATCACGTTGTATCGCTAATAACATAGAAATTGGCCAAACCACATGGTCCTCGCATTCGCGCGATTGTCTTTGGTAATAAATACGGCTAAAGATTTCGGCTTGTAGAAATCTTTTCCATCTTAAAATGATTTTGAGATGGAAAGTGACTGACGGCAGTCGAATCACTTCATGAAACTCGCCAACTTGCCTGTCTCATTTCGGCACGAATCGATGGTCCGTTAGTAATAAATGAAATTTGCTGCTTGCAAATTTTTTCCGTTTTAAAATAATTTTGAGATGGAAAGTGACTGAGAGCAGTAGAACAACATCAAGAAACCCGCCAACTTACGTGTGCTTGAGTTTCTTCTCGTTTCGCCATCCGCCATCGCTGGGCATTCCATTTGCGAGTTTTTATTTTCACGACATTCGTCCATGTTAATTCTCATATAACGCCCATCATAATTTGTGCAGGGATCACCCTCCACGGGCCTACGATAATTAAAACTGCGAGAGTATGCTTCCACAGTAAACAAACAGGCGAAAACAGTCTAGGAACAAAGAAAGCAGATATTATAAGTTGAAACAAAAATCAAACAAAATTCGAAAATAGTTTACCATCAAACTCAAAATACAGTCCAACCCCTATGTTCGACCACCCTTCGTAAGATCTCGTAAGCGACCGCCTCCCACTGAGAAGCGACCACCTGCCTAGAAAACCTTTTTGTCCCAGTCAATTTTCAAGGATTAGAACCTTTCGTAAGCGACTTTGACCACTTTTTGGTTAGATGTTTTTACTGTTTCCCATGCACTATTTCTAACCTCTTGTAAGCCGGTGACCACTTGATGCATTGTTGCTCGCTGTATGTCGACCTCCGTTTCCGTAAAGGTTGATTTCCACTGTCGCGTAATTTTACGCGCTTAAATAAAATAGAGGTAATGTATGGACTCACGGCTTTCACGCGTGAGCGTGAAAGTTGAGCGAAGTTCAACTTTTACCCTTACTTGCGGCCTTTCATGACTTTCATACATTGCCTCTATCTCATTTACGCACCTAAATCCGGCCTAAACCTTTGCATTTTGGGAGGTATGACTGCATATAAAGAGAGAAATGCTTTGTTTTAAGTTGTAAGCTCTGCAAAAAGCACTGCCTGCAGGCCCCGTCCGTAAAACTCATTTCACAAAACTCGGGCCCCAGAATTACGAAATCCCAACTTAGAACTGAAGTAGCATGCGACTAAATAAATTGGCCCTCTTTTGGTATACTCACTGTAAAAAAACCTCTTAACTCCATTTTCTTCTGTTAACCACGACTTTCAGTTCTACTTCAAACTCTTTTGGATGACAACTCGATTAAGATAAATGTTCGCCACCAACACCTTTATTTTATAGGTTAACCATGATGTTTTAGTACAATTGTATCATGTTTGAAGAATTCAATGTCCCTAAGCTTGTAAACTTTTGAATTCTTGATTAACATACTAAGAAATTCTTTTGCGATGAACATTCTTTAAACAAATAAAAAGTTTGAATAGTAATACAGTTTAACGGTCCGAAATCAGCGGAAGTATCCTATATTAGAGTGATGTAATAATCGCGAAGGTATTTAACTATTCCCTAGCCACTTAGTATCCCCCTTAGCGGCAAAAATGAGCTTGATTTTATGCCATTAATCCGGCAAGAATTACCCGACAGGTCCAATTTCAGGGATGCTTCTTTTACTACTTCCCTTTGAGAGCACTGTCGAGAAAAATCTGTGGTCAAAGGTCTCCTTCCTTTTGTATTGCTTATCCACTTGTATGACTATCGAAGCGTGAGGCGTAAGAAATCATTTTTCTGGACCGATGTTCATCTATCGTGTAAACGGAGGGTTAAGTTGTCACAGATAGTCTGACTGAATTCGCGATCATGGCTTTGATGATTTTATATTGAGAAAACCGTTGGTAATTCATTTCAATTGTATTTATGAAGAATATTCTTAAATATCACAGGGGCACCAAACGAGGATATAGTCCAAAACCACATAAACATAGCATTGTTGAACATAATTTAGTATTTAAACGATAGATAAAGGCTTATTTTTATCCCCTAAAAACTTTTCATCTGTTCGGATTTCCTAGCTGAAAGTATCGTGATCCGAAAATTATAGGGATCAAAATTTACCTTTTCGAAAATTTCAGCCAGAAAAAAGGCTCCCGAAAATTCTAGGTGACCTTTATAGGGTAAAAATCTGTTAAAAATGGGCAATTATACCATCTTTTTGATGTTCGAAAATCCTAGGAGAGGCAGGCAAGCAAGAAATTTTACAGAAAATGATCCGAAAATTCTAGACCTCAAATCGTCTTCCGAACAGATAATTTTCCGAAAATTATCGTTTGATGCCCCTGATATCAGTTTTAACGACATGAAATATATCATTCATCTTGAATAATGTGTATAAAGGGTTTCGTTCTGATTGTTTGTCTCACGACCGTCACATAGATATTGATGGCGACGAACTGCAGTACACGGTCGAAACGTCGCGATCATTATCTATGTAACAATCGTTAGACAAAAGATTAACGAAACGCTGAACCCTTCATATATCAGTTACTCAAACTTAATTACTCCCTCACCCACAGTTAATATATATGAAGTAATATAATGTTGCCTTAGAGATCTCAAGCATAGGCCGAGTAAGAGGTAAAACAAACGAAAGAAATCCAAACGAATGCCCTGAAATGCACTCATCACTAGCAAATTCAGTTAACCTTATTTTATCAAATTTTATCGGTATGTGACATTTCGCGCTGGCGTGGGGTCACGGCTATCATATAGTTTCAACAACAAACTCGGAACCTTTATAATCAGAAAAATACTCAGTCTAATCATGCGTTTGTAATTAAGTATGGGTGAATCAAGAAAATCCAGAAAGGGGCGATCAGGACAGTTGCGAGCTATATAGATACTTTTTATTCTACTGAGAATTCTTTAAAAATGTCTCAGAAAAAACGGGTTGCTGCGGTCCCCTCAGCCCGCCCCACCCCATAAATCCGCTCATGTTAATGCGGAGTGACAATTAAACAGTAATCACGAAACCGGACGCGACGAGGAGCATTTTTAAAACAAACATCATTTGTTTGTAAGGAACAGTTTAACAATTGTAAAAAAGAAAAGACCGTGACCCCCACTTTGTAAGAGCCACTCGGCCCTGATCCGTTTTCTCTTTCCGAAAAATGCTAGAAACTGGATAAATCAAAGTTCATGTTATATATGAAATTGACTGTGATGCTATTGACGCTATTTGGGACTGTTGGTATACAAGATCTTTTTTTTGGCAAAATGGTTGGAAAGCCCACTTCGTTAGAATTTTTTCCCTGTTAATCTCTGACGACGACAAAACAGACAAGTGAAAAAAAAAAAAAAAAATTCATGAAGCTAACATAAAAAAACATATTTATTTTGTGCCTTTAAAAGGATTGTTTTAAGGCTCATAATTCTTTATAAAACCGTTTAAGTGAAACCAAGACAAAGAAGACTAATTGAAATTACGCAGACGAACTTTGTGGTTAATTGAAAAACTGAATAAAACTACATTGTTGACTCCCGATAATTCGAACACTCGCGCTAACTCGAACCCAAATCGATTTCCCCTGGATTTCCTTCATATAGTTACCGTAATTTTACCCTCGATAACCCGAACCATGTTTTACAGCGCGTGACAAGCCGAGAAAAAAAAAAGTGTACCGAAGTCCGAAACACTCGGAATTTATTTCATTAAAACCAAGTCACTCCTTTGTCCTTACTTTTATGTCACTCCAGCTCAAAATTAAGTGTCCATCTCTGTATATTAATCAAGCTTTATTGTCTAATTCCTTTATTCCAAACATCAATCTATGTCTCTTAGTACCCTCCCCGTCAATTTGCTTAATATTTTCTTATTTCCGGTTATTTGCTTCAAACTCCCGATAACTCGAACTTTTTTTATTTTCCTAGAAGGTTCGAGTTATCGGAAGTAGCCTTCATGCAGGCTATCGGAAGTCGACCGTATCTGCATATATGAAACATGAAGCCTACCTGTGATACTTAAGCAATAGACCACACTTTCTATGGGTTTACCGGCGTGATAACCCACGCGGGATGTTGGGAGAACACGAGAAAAGCTTGTAAATCACGAGCCGAAGGCGAGTGATTTACAAGCTTTTCGAGTGTTCTCCCAACATCCCAAGTGGGTTATCACGCCGGTAAACCCATAGAAAGTGTGGTCTATTGCTTTTATAAAATAACTTTTAGTAGAATGGAGTATTTTAGGTAAAAAATATGGTTCTAGTACCGTGATCAAGTCACGTCTTCTCTCTAAAGTCATCATAAGCCAATCATGACTCACGATTTAATAGCGTTGAACTTTCTCAAAACTCAGTTCAGTCAAACAACAAACAGCAGCACTTCAAAACACGAGTTTTTGCACTCATTACATGATAACTTATGAAAGCTGTTTTACAGGAAAAGTCAACACATATTCATGCGAACGTACAATGAAAGAATACGTTCATGGTTTGTTTACTACAGAAGTAGGAATTAATTGAACATCAGACTGTACGCAGCTGTATTTTGTTGAGTCGATCCGTAAGAATTTCGTTGTTACAGACGGAACTTGCAGTTATTGTAATAGAGGACTTCATTCACTTTTAACAAGCCGCAGTGGTTTAAGATCTGTTTTCTGGACTTTATTATGATCAAGAAATGCTGCGGTAACGACGTGGCTGCATTTGCGAAGTTGTCGCATGTAACTTTATATGCACGTACAGCGACCGATGGAAATATGTCAGTGGTGGAGAAAGGTTTCTTTGCCGTAGCCACATATTGGCGTTAATATTTGTCGATTCGTGAAGTGAGGTGGTTTGAGGTAGGTTATGGCATCGATATCACCGAATAATTTGTGCAAATGTTGGAAAAAACCAGCCCGAAACTCTGACATTTTTCATCATCGTTGGCAGCTTGTTTACAACTTACAGCGGCCGATTTTGTACCATACCTTGATCAGAGATCTCTTTCTGGAACAATTTCTTTCATTAAGAAATTTAAGTTTTAGATAAAATAAATCAGGAATGCTAAAACTATCCGTTTTGTTGCTTGTTGGCACATGGTTAAGTTTTCCTAGAGACTTTCTACACCAGAAATTCACACAGTTGTTGTCTTTCTCTGCGATTTGGCATCGTCGTGAAATGTAAACTGTTTTCCAGCTTTGTACTTTATAACTTCTAAAGCTATGGTAGTAGCGAATTGTGCCCAGTAATAAAATGTGCAAACCAACGCATTTAATATTAAGAAGGGCTGAGTAAGTAACTTGTTCTGTTTTTTAGCCTTTCTAAAATCGTTGTTTGCAGATCAATAGCCGGTTTTGTTTATGGCTCGTGGTCCGGAAGCCTTTTTCTATGGGTTTACCGGTATAATAAACCATAGGTTTTTGACCAATCAGATCACGCGTACTATCTCAGTTATTTTATAAATACATATACATAGTTTTACATACATACATACGTTTATTCAAAGCATTTAAAAACAAAGATAAATACTTTCAAAGAATGCCTTGAAAAGGGAGTTTAAGAGGTTGACCCTACGGAAAAAAAACCCAAAAGAAAAATCTTAAAAATATACTAATATTAAAAGTGCACATCCAAAACATCAAATTAATATCTTGATAGGCTTTTCCGGTGCAGAGAAGAGGCGGTTTTCGTTTTCAATTCCAGTTCCTGTAGAATTTTACCCATCACTAGAAATTTCAGTCTTGAGTCTCTAAGAAGAGTGTGGCCGTCTGGGAAAGACTGTAGCCCATGAAGTGTTTTGAAGAGAAGATGGCGATGTTTTTTTAATTTTCGATTCATGTTCCTATTGAGATACTAGGGTGAAAAAACCGGAAGCACTGCGCGTGGGAAGAAAGATTCCCATGTAGGTCAAAACGAGAATGCTGCGCGTCTTTCTTGCGCCCACTACTTCGAAGTGCCTGCTACGCAGGCTATCAAATGTCTAAGGATAATTAAGAAAGGTAGTTTGAATTTTTCTAGCTTCCCATCATAACTAATAAAAATGATTGAAGGACGGGCATACAAATAAGAGGGAAGCCCATGGCTAGGTAATTTTTGTTTTTCTTTTGTTTTGGGGTATGGCCCGGGGGGGTACTTTAGGAATTTCTGGGTGGGGATGTGCCGCTGGGACCCTAGAACCCTTAACCTATACTAGAGCTAGTTCAGCTGAATTTTGCTACCCTATACTAGAGTAAACTCCCCAAATCCCCCCTATCCTAGAGTAGCTGTT